TTTATGTTGTGTTTTTGATACAGGGTCTCAATATATAGCCCAGGTAGACCTCAAACTCATGATCTTCCTGCCTCAGCCTCTTTAGTGCTAGGATTATAAGTATGAACCACCATGCCTGGAAATGAGTAAATATTTTTTTATGGTACTGGGGCTTGGACTCAGGGCCTACACCTTGAGCCACTCCTCCAGCCCTTTTTTTGTGAAGGGTTTTTTCGAGATAGGGTCTTGACAACTTTCTGCCTGGGCTGGCTTCAAACTGTGATCCTCCTGATCTCTGCCTCCTGGTAGCTAGGATTACAGGCCTGAGCCACTGGTCCTGGCTTATCTCACTCTTTGTGGCTAAGTAATACTCCATTGTGTAAAAAATATACATTTTCTTTATCCGTTCATGAATTGATAGTCACCCACTGTTATGAGCATTCTGTAACAGTGCCATGTGTAAACGTGTGTGCAAGTATCTCTACTGTATGCTGATTTTGATTCCTTTGAGTATATTGGTGGGAATGTAAATTAATCTACCACTATGGAAATCCTTCTGGAAGTTCCTCATAAAACTAAAAACAGCCCTTGTACTATTAATGTATGCTAGTAAAAAAAAAAACCAAAAAACAAAACCACCCTAAAAAGAGAACTACCATATGACCCATCTATACTGTTCCAACTCCTTTTTTTTTGGTGGTACTGGGGTTGGAACTCAGGGCCTCACATTTGCTAGGCAGGCACTCTAACACTTGAGCTACTCCACCAGCCCTTTTTGTGATGGGTTTTAACCACTATCCTCCTGATCTCTGCCTCCTGAATAGCTAGGATTACAGGCGTAAGCCACCAGTTTCCAGCTGAAAACTCTACTCTTAGAAGATCTAGAACCTAAATGTTAAGCAGGTATCAATATTGACAGAAGATAAAAGATTACGTAAGCGCCTGTTCATCTTCCTTTTCTTCCTGTTTCCCTTTTCACTCACTATGGACTACAATGTTTGGTTTTTCTTTCCTCATTGCACTTTCCATTTCAAACAGTTCACTGTGTATTTCTGCATGATTGATTGTCTGAACCTGTGGAGGGTCCAGGATGGAAAGTATTGCCCAGCATATGCCATCTGTCTAAATTGCAATGTACTGTATCTATCTTTTGGTGTATGACCTGGGAACTCCTGTGGGGTGGCAGGTATTCTGTATGAGGAGTGTGTTAATTAGAAGGTGTAGATGGCCCTCCTCAACTAAGGCCCAGTATCACTTTGGGGCTGCTACTATATAGTAGTATGATTATAGGAGTCAACTAGCCTGTGGGCCTGTGGATGGGCTTTCCCATAGGCAGTCAAATTAAAGCAGTATTGCTCAAGTGTATTCTAGGCTCAGGATGTTCTGATTGATGCCACATGGGGTCATGGTTGAAAGGGAGCTACAAACAAGGCTGCCACCCGTGGGGAAGTGTGTGTTCAGCTACTGCCATCCTTTTTTGTTTTTTGTTTATGAGATAGGATCTTGCTATATAGCCTAGGCTGGCCTTGAATTCTTGATCCTTTTGTCTCAGCCTCCCAAATACTGGATCACAAGAGTGCACCACCATGCCCGATTTTAATTATCTGGCAAATTCTCAGATATAAGCCTGCTTTTTTTTTTGGTGGTACTGGGGTTTGAATTCAGAGCCTCATCATTGCTAGACAGGTGCTGTAGCAAGGTGGTGCACTTGAGCCACTCTGCCAGCCCTCTTTTGTGTTGGTATTTTCGAGATAGGTTCTCCAGAACTACTTGCCCGGGCTGGCTTCGAACCTCCATCCTTCTGATCTCTGCCTCCTTAGTAGCTAGCATTACAGCTATGAGTGACAGGAGCCTGGCCAGAGCCCTTTTTATATTGGATTGATCTGACTGTCCTGACAATTTGATTGTTGTGTTTAAAAGGACCTTGTAAGATTAACTTGCTGATATCACTTAAATTATTTGTAATGAATAGTAATAAACTTTTCTGATTTTACTGAGTCTTGTTTTTTAAAAATCAAAGCAATTCCTTCCCTTTTGAGTGGTTTCTAATTGCTCTTCAACTTGCAAAGGATGAAATAACTGTAATTGTTATATTGCTCTCTGCACTTATGTGTGACTGTACTTGTTTTTCACCACCACATAACCGGAGTAGGGAGCTATCTGCTCTACTAATACTGATTCTCTCATTCCTACCTCCCCATCCAAGGATTTAGCTTCATTTCCGGGTTCTCATTATGATGGGTCAGTTAATTTCCTGTAGACCATTTTTCTAACTTAAACTATAGTCAGTAAATAATTGAGCGCCTATGTTATAAGCATTACTGTACTAGTGGCTGGGTTAGAAAGGTAAGACATCACTTAATGCCCTCTGCCTCACTCATTATCAGTAAAACATCCTTCCTGTTTGTTACAAAAATGACTAATTCTGGGTGGTGCACTATGAATGAAAAGCAAAACCATGATTTCCTTTAAAAAAAAAAAAAAACTTTGGAGCTGGAGCTGGGAATGTAGCTCAGTGGTAGAGCATGTGCTACAAAGCCCAGGTTCAATCCTCAGCACCACAAAAAAAGCACTAGCTGTATTAAGTTACATATACCCCAAAGTTTACCCATTTCAAGCGTACAATTTAATAATTTTTTTTGTAAATTCACTGTTTTGCAGAATTACCATTTCTATTACCCCAACCAAACATGTCTCATGCAGTTAATTCCTGTTTCTGCCACATCAGCTCTAGACAACCACTAGTCTTTTGGGGGGGTGGTACTGGAATTTGAGCTCAGAGCCTCACATTTGCTCTACTACTTCAGCCACTCTACCAACCTTACTTTGTTTCTTTCTGGATTTTTTTTTTTTTTTGAGACAGGATCCCACAGTGTAGCTGAGGCTGGCCTCAAACTCAACAGCCTGTTGTCTTAGCTTTCTAAGTGCAAGGAATACAGGCAAGCACTATTATGCTGGGTTTTGTAGATCCTTTTCTTGGGGCGGTATTGGGGCTTGAACTCAGGACCTCATGCTTGCTAGGCAGGCGCTCTTACCAACTGAGCCACTCCACTAGCCCCTTAAGAGAAGCAAGATGCAAATACAACTGGGGAAAGGTGAGGGAAGAACCTCCTGGGGTTGGAACTGTTAGTAGAACAAACTCAATTTTCATTCTCTCCACTGAAAGGGCTTAAAAGCAATGATACTCCAGATATTGGTTTCTTTTTCAAAAAAACATTTTTATTAGCATATATTAGTTGTATAGGAAGCTTCACTGTGACATTTTCATATGTGCTTACAATGTATCTTTATTAGATCTACCTGCTCCCTTCTTAGAACAATTTCAACAGGTTCACTTTTCTGTTTCATACACAGATAGAGTATCGAGTATATGACCTCCTTCACCACCCTCCTTTTTGTGCACAGGGCATATCTTGGCTTCTAAACACACAAAAAAGTCAGGGCTCCTTCAAAAAATGGTATCAGATCAGGACAAGCACACACACAAAGAAAGTCTGGAACATCTTGTGGTTCCCTCAGGGCAAATTTGTGGGAGCATCAAAACAAATAATGAAGGTGCCAGGTTATAAACATTAAAGAAAAAGACAAGGAAAGAATAGGAAAGTTCTTTACTGAGTATTTGTAGTTACCTAAGTGTAGAAATAAAGAATTAAATCAGTCCTTTGCATTCTTCCAATAAAATTCATTCAAAAAATAAAATTCATATCATTTAGGCATAGATCATCAATGGATGCAAAGACTACTAGTGGAAGGCTGATGGGGAACAATGTTCACACAATCTCAAAGTATCTCTCATAATTTATTAAACTACAAAGGGGAAGATGTACCTTACAATGGAAAGATCTGGCAGTCACCACTTTATGGAAGTGTTCAGATTTAGCATCACAAATATTGAGACAACGTGGAAGCGTGTCTTCTGATTTTTTTTTTTTTTGAGCTAGAGTCCTAAGTAGCCCAGGGTGGGATGACAGGCGTTCAATCACCACGCGGCTGCAAAACATCTATTTTAGGGGTTAAGAATTAAGATGTTTGTAGGCCACTTTTTTAATTACAATTATTTTTGCGGTGCGCGGGGATGAAACCCAGGGCCTTCAGCCTTGATACATAGCGAGTTCCAGGCCAGACTGGGCACACAGCGAGACCCTGTCTTAAAAACAAAACCACCGGGTGTGTGTGGCGGGGGAAGGTGGCCCAAACAATGTATATACATGTGAGTAAACGTAAAAAACATAAAATAAAAACCAAACCACCATCAAACCAAGCAAAACCAAAAGACCGCCAAACAGAGCTCCAACAAAGCGCAGGGCTTTGCGCCTGCTAGATAAGCGCTGTAACCCCGGGCTACATCCCCAGTCCTGTAATCCACTTTCAAATGGTTTAGAAATTAAAAAAAAAAAAAAAGCAAGCACACACCAACTTAGCAGAATGTCAACAACTATGAACCTAGGTGAAGGGCCTGCTGTTCGTCTTACTAATTTATCGCATTTCCCGAAGCAAACGTTGGGGGAAAACCTGTTGCTATGGGGAAATGCCCATTCGAAACAAGTAACTAACAACGGTACCTTTGTCAAAGTTGGGGACTGTACAATTTACCGCACGTTTCATTTTGGAAAGGAGCAATGAAGACGCACACAGCACAAACCGGACAAACCGGTTCTAACCTTGACTTTCGAGTATTGTAGCGTAGTGACCTGCGACTTCCAGATCACCGCCCACGTGACCGCATTAGAACTTCTTTTTGATTGGAGGAAAATTCGTCGCTCTATTCCGTGCTAGGAGAGCGTTGGCGCGCATTAAGGGGGCGGGGACTGAACATTTTCTTTGACCAACCACTTTCCATCTACCCAGCCTCCTGATCTCGTTTGGTCGAATCAAGATCGGTTAGTAAAGTAGTAATACCTATGCCTCGTTCCCGTAGGACGGCCGGTATTTCCGGTTAAAATTTCCCTCACTAAACTTCCTGTAGGGGGCCTGTAGGGTCAAGGAATTCTGTAAGTCACTTCTGTGCGACTCATGTTTTTATTTCCGGTCCATGGAAGCCGTTGGCCTGCGGCGGCTACCACCGCTGCTGCCGCCATTATGTCCGACACGGACAGCGATGAAGATTCTGCTGGAGGCGGTCCATTTTCTTTAACCGCGTTCCTTTTTGGCAACATTAATGGAGCCGGGCAGTTGGAGGGGGAAAGCGTCTTGGACGATGTGAGGGGTGGGCGTGGGGCTAGGGCGAGGGGTGGTGTGGTTAAGACAGTAAGAGGCTGCTTAGGAAGTGAGACTAGAGGGCATCTTGATTTTGGGAGAGCGCAGAGGATCCCGTCCTCAAAGATCTGGGAGTAGTGGAGAGTAAGTTGTCTCAGTTCTAGGCAAGGACGGAGAGAAAAGAGGAAAACACTACCAGTCCCGAAGGTAGGGATGCGTAGGTTAGGTGGCTTTGGAGATAACAGTCTTCTATACCAGACAATAGGCAAAATAATCGTTGAGCCTAGTCAAGTTGCCTTCAAGCCGTTGTCTTGAGAGCCTTCTTGAAGAGTGTTGATACCTGGCATTTGTGACATCGCAGATCTGAGATGGCTCTAGAGCCTGAGGAGTGGACGGAACTTGGCAGCTGTCGTTACCTTCTTTCCACAGGGCGGTAGAAGTGGATGTTCAAGCTGTGCGGGCAGACCTCTGCGGGTCCCATTGCACTGTCTGGGTGCTTTTCCCTGTGTGCTCATTGACGTTCATGCACTTGTTTCCTGTGTCCAACTGAAACTCCCTTTCATTTTGGTTCATTTCTCGGAGAATAAAGTTGACCAGTGTCCCCCTCCCTGCAATATTACACACAAAAGAGTGATTTTTGTTCAGGCTTGCTCTCTAATTCTGGTGACCACAGTTACTTTGGCCTTTATTCAGAAAACTAATGTTCCATTCATTCAATCAGAGCGATAGTTCTTTGAATCTTTTTTTGTAACTATAATGTGTGGCCATGGCACTGGACATAGCATTTCATAGAGGTCAGGTCACGGTGGAGTTTGGTAGATTTATTGTCCTGTTCTAGAATGTGCTGCTCTTTTAGCATGCTACAGAATCAGTTTTCATAGGGATTTATGAATGAGGGAAGGAAGCCTTGTGTGGGACGTTCAGCTGTACTTGTTACTTTGATTCTGGTAGTCAGGTTGAGTTGTTATTTTGACGCTGGTATTCAGGTTGACTTGTTACTTTTGACCTTGGTGCTGTCCCTTTTTCAGGAGTGTAAGAAGCACTTGGCAGGCTTGGGGGCTTTGGGTCTGGGCACCCTGATCACTGAACTAACGGCAAATGAAGAATTGACTGGGATTGACGGTGCCTTTGTAAATGATGAAGGTTGAAGTCTGGGTTACGGGCAGTAAGTGGGGAGGAGGCTCGCTTACCATCTTAAATGCTTTTTATTTTGCGACAGGGTCTTGCTATTTAATGCAGGTTGGCCTCCAGGTCACAATCCTGTCTCAGCCTCCCGAGTGCTGGGATTTACAGGCATGTACCACCACACTCACCTGTACATATACTTTTTTTATTTGCTGTATTGGCTTTGAACACAGGGCTTTGAGCTTGTTAGGAAACTGCCAACTTGAGTTACACCTCCAGCTGTACACGAACTTTTAATGGGAATTAGGGAGTAAGTTACTTGCTCTTTCTTAAGATCTCTCCCTTTTATTTATAGGCTGGATTAGAGTACAGAAGATGCTGTGGACTATTCAGACATCAACGAGGTAGCAGAAGATGAAAGTCGAAGGTACCAGCAGACAATGGGGAGCTTGCAGCCCCTTTGCCACTCAGGTGAGTCTTTGGTGTTATGGATAGAGCATTTTTAGTCCATTTTCTTGCTGTATAGTCCTGTTTGGGTTCTGGTTTCTGTGTCTGCTTTCTTCCATTGTTCCTGCTCTCTTTGGTTTTCTCTGCTTTTCTCTTTGTCAGTTCAGTTCCAAGTAGTGCTATCCTATTTTGTGTTTTGGGCAGTCTTAACCATGCTCAGGCTTTTTCTTTGGCAGTTATGGGATTTGAACTCAGGGTTTCACATTTGTTAGGCAGGTGCTCTTGCCACTTGACCCACTCTGCAGCCCTATTTTGTGTTGGGTATTTTTGAGTTAGGGTCTGGGGAACTATTTGCAAAGGGCTGACTTTGAACCCCAGTCCTCCTGATCTCTGCCTCCTGAGTAGCTAGGATTACCCAAACATACTCAGGCTTTTATTGCTCATCCTGTTCAGTTCCAAATTCTTGATTAATAACAAGTAAGAGTGAGAACGCTTTTCTTTTTGGTGGTACTGGGGTTTGAACTCAGGGCCTTGCACTTGCTAAGCAGATGCTCTACCACTTAAGCCACACTCCCAGCCCTTTTTGATTTAGGTATTTTTCTAATAGGTTGTCATGTTTATGCTTGGGCTAGCCTGGACTGCAATTCTCCTATTTACATTTCTGTCTTTGCTGGGATAACAGTTGTGCATCACTGCACCCAGCTTTTTATTGGTTGAGATGGGGGTCTCACTAACTTTGCCTGGCCTGGAACTGGGATCCTCCACATCTCTGCCTCCTGAGTAGCTAGGATTACAGTCCCCATAGGAATGCTTTTCTTGTCACCTGATATTTGAGTATGTACAGTGTCCATGGCATTGTTTTTAGATGCTCTTCAAAGTTAGAAATTATAAAACAAACTCAGTTTATATCCCCAAAGAATTGATGGTTCAAAAAGGATTAAGCATGTAATTTCTTATATTAAATGAGCACCTGGATTTTTGGCTCAAGTCACTTCCCCATTTGTGTGCTGACACAATGTATTTAATACTTGCTCACAATACAAAGTCATGTCCCCTGTCTCCCCCCCACCCCCCGCGAATAAAGTGCTTTATTATAGAATCAAAATGTCTGAGCTGGAAGAGGTCTTACCGATTATTTATTGCTAAGCCTCCTAATAGGTAAGAAAAACTTGAACTCTGGAGAACGTTAAAAGAAATGTGGAGCCGGTGCTGGTGGCTTGCACCTGTGAGCTACTCAGGAGGCAGAAACCAGAAGGATTGTTGTTCGAAGCCAGCCCCTGGCAAATAGTTCTCGAGACCTATCTTGAAAAAACCCATTTCAAAAAAGACTGGTGGAGTGGCTGAAGTATAGACCCTGAGTTAAAACCTTAGTACTGCAAACATTAAAAAAAGTGGGAATTTTATGAAAATTTCTGTAGTTAGTAGAAGATCCTAAGACCTCAGTTTCTTAGACAGTGATTGAGCACCTGTTACATGCTATAAACTTTGGTGTGAAGATAATAGATTACATTGATCTCAAACCCAGTTTAGTGGTCTGAAACCTAGAGCTATTGGTCGTAGTTTATTCTTTGTACTGGCCTGTGTCACCTTTTTTTTTTTTTTTGGTACTGTGGTCGATTTGGTGCTTGTTAGGTGGCTCTCTACCACTTGAGGCACGTCTCCAGCCCTTTCTGTTTTATTTTTCAGATAGGATCTTAACAATCTTGTCAAGGCTGACCTGGATGCTGATCCTCATTATTTACTCCTCCATCATAGCTGGGACTACAGGCACATGCCACCATGTCTGGTTTATTTTTTATTATTATTTTTGGCAATACTAGGATTTGAACTTGGGGCCTTTGACTTGCTAGGCAGGTGCTCTACCACTTGAGCCACCCTCCTTGTCCCCCAGTCCTTTTTGCTTGTCATTTTTCAGATAGGGTCTTAAAATTTTGCGCAGGGTTGGCCTCAGATTTAGATTCTCCTGAGTATGGTATCCTGAGTAGCTGGGATTACAAGTGCACTCTACCACTCCTGGCTTTTTGGGTGAGATGGGGGTTTTGCTAACTTTTTGCCTAGGTTGGCCTTAACCCATGATCCTTCTGAGTAGCTGGGATTGCAGGTGTGAGCCACAATGCCTGGCTTTCTGTTTGAAACTTATGTGAAGTTGCTCATTGTTTATTCATTGTCTACCTCATTGAATTAGATTTTAGGCTGCTGAGAAATGTAGAGAAAACCTTCATATTTAGTTTCTTTAGGGCCAATTAATAGATTTGGGTGATTTTTTTTGAAGTGTGGGGGGGTGCTGTCTTGCTGTATAGCCTAGGCTGGTCGCTGGTCTCAAACTCATGGCTGTCAGCAATCTTCCCACCTTAGCCTACTTAGTAGATGGAACTGTAGATGTGTGCAAACCTGTCTATTGACTGCTTTTTTGTTTTTTGTTTTTTATTTTTTGGTGGGTCTTTGCACCTGTAAAGCAGGCTCTTTACCTCTTGAGCCACACTTCCAGCCCAAGTGCTTCTCCTCCGTACTGGGGTTTGAACTCCAGGCCTGTACCTTCAGCCACTTTTTTTTGTGGTGTCTCTCGAACTATTTGCCTGGGCTGGCTTAGAACCACAATCTTCCTGATCTCTGCCTCCTTAGTAGCTAGGATTGCAGGTGTGAGCCACTGGCGCCCAGTTCCAAATCCCTTTTATATAGAGAAAACTAGCTACCACATACACGAGAAGTAGCCTATGAGAAATAGTAATTGTAGCCCTACTTTCAGGGAAATTTGTTATGTGAGAAAAGATGGACTAAACAAATGTAAAACAATTATTAGTAGTTATTAATAGAAGTCATAAACCAACTATAAGCTCATGTTTCTTTTTTGGGGGGCACGTGGGACCGGGGTTTGAACTTAGGGCTTCACACTTGCACAGTAGGCACTCTTCTGCTTGAGCCACACCTCCAGTTCAATTTTGCTCTGGTTATTTTGGAAGTGGGGGGGAGTCTCACAAACTATTTGGGCTGGCCTTGGATCATGATCTTCCTAATCTCTGCCTCCCAAGTACCTAGGATTATGGATGTGCCTGGCTAAGCTCATGTTTCTGTATGAGTGTTATATTTAGATTTGGTGGGCTATAGAATTGCTAATTCAAACTGCATAACTTCTTTTTGAGCATCCTGGTTTAGGCTAAGGGGGAGGTGGTAGCAGTGCTGATTTTCAGCAGAAGTTAAAGTTTTGGGGTTTGAGTTTGTTGCCTTGACTAGGGATGGTAAAAAAAAAAAAAGATGGATGGTGGGACGGTTCCTAGTTTTTAATTTTAGGGGTTTTCAGCTTCCTGTCATCTGGGGGTACCTGCACCTCTGTCTTCAGCTTCCTTTTTCCCTGGCATTGACCCCTTCACATGGCTTGATTTACAAATGTTCTTTGGGCTGGCTTTGAACCTGAGATCCTACTTATCGCTGCCTCCTGAGTAGCTGGGATTACAGGCATGAGCCACCAATGCCCGGCAAGGTGGTTCTTCAGAATAATTGGGAGTACATAGAAGTCATTGGGGAAGGTTTCATGGAAGTAAATTTTGAGCAGATTTATGAAAGCAAGACTAGACATAGTGGAGAAGAAATAGGGCATTTGGTTTGGTTTGGCTGAAAGTTTGGAAATATTTACAAAGAAGCAAATAATGTGGAAGGAATTGTCCAGTTTCATTTTTAGAAAGAATTGGAAAACATTGCCAAGTAGTAAGAACTAAGGACAGAGCAATTTTATAGCACCTTTATGTATATATATGTTACGTTATTTGGAATTTGATGTTACAAAGAATTGTGAACAAGTCAATCTTGTTGTCTCTAGTGATGACCCACTTTTAGTCTATCAGAAGTGTATTTTCCTAATAAACCAACATGCATAGTTAATAGGCAGGGTGGTATAATGAAAAGCAAGTAGACTTTGGAGTCAGAACATCCTAGATTCAAATCCCAGTTCTATATTTGATGTAATCCTGGGAAAGTTGTATAATATCTGAGGCTTGGACTTCTTTTTTTTTTTTTTTTCCTGGCAATACTGGGGTTTGAACTCGGGGCCTCACTTTGCCAGCCTTTTTTTGTGATGGTTTTTTTCCGAGATAGGGTCTTATGAACTATTTGCCTGGGCTGGCTTTGAACTGTGATTCTCCTGATCTCTGCCTCCTGAGTAGCTAGGATTACAGGCTTGAGCCACCCAGCTTGCAATATCTTTTTTTTTAAGGAAGAAGCTATATCTTTGTATTCCCTAAAGATATACATAGTGCTCCCTGTGGTGCTTTAAATTTTGAAAGGTGAAGGAAGTGGAAGGCTATTGTGTAACATTCTGATGGATACTGAGTAGATCACCTTTTTGGTTTCATTAGATTATGATGAAGATGATTATGATGCTGATTGTGAAGACATTGATTGCAAGTTGATGCCTCCACCACCTCCACCTCCAGGACCAATGAAAAAAGATAAGGATCAGGATACTATTACTGGTGGTAAGTAGAGACTGTTATACTTTTGTCTAAGAAGAAAGTTTCCATTTATAAGCCCAGACTTTTGGCATGCACATAAGGGACTATTAAAAAAAATTAAGCTTCTTGGAAAGGATGATACTTGTAGAAATGATTCATGGTCTCAAACTTTGGTGTTAAAGGAGAACTTTACTTTTAAAACTTTTTTTTTTTTTTTTGTGGTACTGGGGTTTGAACTCAGAGCCTTCACCTTAAGCTACTCTGCCAGCCCTTTTTTGTGAAGGGTTTTTTGAGATAGGGTCTCAAACTGTTTGCTCAGGCTGGCTTTGAACCACATCCTCCTGATCTTTGCCTCCTGAGTAGCTAGGATTACAAGCGTGAACCACCAATGTCTGGCCAAAAAAATACTTGATAAATATTTTAACACATTCAAAAAGTAGTCATTTTGGTCAACCGTTCTCAGGTTTAACTGCTTATTATAATTGTCTTTTGAGTCTTTTAAAAAATACGGATATGGGTACATGAGGTGGGTGTGGTGGCACATGGCTGTATTCACAGTAGTAGGGAGGCTGAGGCGGGAGGATCTCAAGTTCAGGCCAGCCTGAGCTATGGAGTGAGTGCAGGACAGTCTGAACTGTATAGTAAGACCCTGTCTCAAAACAAAAAAATAGGGAGCTAATAGAGTGACTCAAATGGTAGAGTGTCTGCCTAGCAAGCATGAGGCCCTGAGTTCAAATCCCAGAACCCAGAACCACCAAAAAAAACAAAAACCCAAATATAGGACTGGTGGACTGGCTCAAGTTGTAGAGCGCCTGCCTATAGCAAGCATAAGGCCCTGAGCTCAAGCCCTAGTACCACTGCCAAAAAAAAAACTCCCTTCTAAAAGTAAAGTAAAATATCTGACTCTCACTTTTGCTTGGAGTGTTGATTTGGAAGGTTTGGGGTAGAGCCCAGGAATTTTTGAGAGTTCCGAGAGGGGCTGTGGAGTGGCTCAAGTGGTAGAGCGCTGCCTAGCAAGCGTGGAGGCCCTGAGTTCAAACCCCAGTAACGACAAAATGAAAAAAAAGAGTTCCCAAGAATTTCTGATGCAACTATATAGCTATGTACTTATACCTGCATATTGTTATTTGGAAAACTACTTTTAAAAAAAAGACTCATAAAACATGTAAATTATATAGCATCAACTTAGCATATATTCAGAATTTTCAGTGGTTGGTGAAGTCTATAGTGGTTATCTTGCCATTCTCCTGTCCCTGTAACAATAATAACCCTGTCATAGACTAGAAGATCTAGGAGGAGCTGCTCCTTTGGTCTTCTGTATTTTGAAGGTTACCTTAACCTAAATTCCTCATGTTGATGTTTTGAGCCATTCTTTTGGTCTGCAGGGTAATATTGCTCTTAACTTTGTATGTAGATCTTACTTTATTCTAAATCTCATTGTTAATCTTGTGGGCTTGAAAAATTCTCCAGTCTGGATGTGATAGGCCCTGACTGATCTAAAGTATTACATGATTTTGTTACTGGGCACGATACTGATCACTTATGGAAAGCAGTAATAAGTGTTTGTTTTCTCTTATCACAACCCTAGGGACCAGTATAAGTGAGTTTGGGATGGTGGGAAATAATTGAGTTGGATGAGTTTCTGGGTCGCATACTAGTGATCTGGGTGCTTGGGACTATATCCCCCGCCATTGAGCTGTGCATATAGCCTAGAGTGGGTGTTGGCTGAATTTAGGAAATATACTTACAGTTACATGCCAAAAGGGTTTCTCTTCCTTGTTGCAGTGTCTGAAGATGGAGAAGGCATCATCTTGCCCTCCATCATTGCCCCTTCCTCTTTGGCCTCAGAGAAAGTGGACTTCAGTAGTTCCTCTGACTCAGAATCTGAAATGGGACCTCAGGAAGCAACACAGGCAGAATCTGAAGATGGAAAGCTGACTCTACCTTTGGCGGGGATTATGCAGCATGATGCCACCAAGCTGTTGCCGAGTGTTACAGAACTTTTTCCAGAATTTCGGCCTGGCAAGGTACTTTCTGTGGAGAATGCCCATATTGCAAACCACTGACCTCTTCCAGGTACTGAGTTCTGTTCAGATGTTGAATGTGGCTGGGCACCAGTGGCTCATGCCTCTAATACTAGCTTCTTGGGAGGCAGAGATCAGTAGAATCTCTGTTAGTTCGAGAGACATTATCTTGAAAATACCCAACTCGAAAAAGGGCTGGCGGAGTGGCTCAAGTGGTAGAGTGCCTGCCTAGCAAGCATGAGGCCCTGAGTTCATGCCGCGCAATACAGACCAAAAAATAAAAAAAGATGATGCTGAATTGTAGAAGATCTAAGGATTTCCTTAGCGGCATAGAATTGTTTTGACAATATAATTGTTTTGTTTTTGGAGTTGTATATATTCATAGACAATGTGACTTATGCTATTCTGTTGTCTTAAAAGAACTAGTCCAAATTACTAAGGGACACTTTTCCACTTTTGT